CAAGAATACTCACCCATTAGGACAAAAGATGCTCCTATGACCCAGGACCAGGAATTCCATACCAGCCACTCTGGTCACTTGGGAAATTACAGAAGTCTTAGGAGTTCTATGCCAGGAACTAGAGTCAAAGACCAGATTTTTTGCCTAGTGTACCTATCTACAAGGATTTTAGGTGCTCTGTGCCAGGAATGGGAGGGGGGGTAACCACATGTGTATTTCATATGACATCATAATATCACAGATATTAAAACAACTCTGCATTTCCAGGATAAGCTCCACTTGGTCTTGGTGTATAATTATTATTATATCTTTTTTTTTTTGGAGAGGTTTTTTTTCGCTATAGGGCGCGTGCGCTTGCCAGACAGACAGAGAGAGACATAGAGACAGAAAGCGAGAAATCACCCCCCAGGGGGGATGGCCATGCCGCAATCCCTTCTCCTCCATTCTCCTCTCGGGATCCTGGGCACACACGCACACGCGCCCAGCATGAGTTTTAAGCCACCAGGTCCAGGACGCGAACCGCAGTCAACTATGTGGGAGTCCAGTGCCATAGCCATTACGCCAACTGTTGGTTCCCTAATTATTATTTTTAAATGTTATTCTTTTGCTAAAGGGTTTATATGCTCATCAGAGAGAGAGGAAGAGGAGCAATCACCTCCATGGGGAATGACCATGCCATAATCCCTTCCCTTCCATCTCTTCCTCCTTTCAAGACTTTGGGTGCACGAGCGCGCACGCGTGCACACACACACATACACACACACACGGTGTGTTTCTCAAGGCACTAGGTCCAACACATAGCATACATTCAGCCATGTGGTATCTGGCTGCCTTAACCACCAGGCCACAGAGTCAGCCCAAAATAATTATTGTTATATGTTTCCAGTTTCAGTTTGCTAGTATGTTGTTGAAGATTTTTATATCCACATTCATAAGAGATTCCAATCCAATTTTCTTGTGATTCCTTTGTCAAGTTTTAACATCAAGGTAATACTGGCCTCAAAATGAGCTGGGAAGTAGTCTGTCCTATTTTTGGAAGAGTTTGTGAAGTACTGGTGCTAATTCTTTAAATGTTTGGTAGAATTCAGTAGATGTCCTATCTCAACCTTGGTTGCTTTGTCTTGTTTTTATATTTTTGCTGTAGAGCGCAAGCACTCAGCTGAGATAGGCAGAGAGAGAGAGAATGCACAGGATGGCCACACCACAATCTTCCATCATTCTCCTCTGGGGACTTTGGGCTTGCATGCACAAACTTGGCATGTTTTTCAAGCACCGAGTCCAGGACTCAAACTATGCAGTTTGCTTTGTTGGATGCAGCCACCTTAAGCGCCACGCCTCCAGCTGGCCCTTCATGGGTATTTTGTTTTGTTATTACTTTTCAACTCTCATTATATGTCTATATAGATAGATAGATAGATAGATAGATAGATAGATAGATACATATATATACACATATATATTTAAGAATTATTTTTATTTAACTTTATTTATTTATTTAAATTTGACCAGAGAGGGACAGAGAGAGAGAGAGAGTAAGAAAGCAAGCCACCAGGTTGGGGACTCGAACCACAGTTGGCCATGTGAGAATCCAGCACCTTTAACCACTTCACCTCCTGATAACACCCATATTGTATATTCTTCCTAAGCTCCATAACCTAATGATTAAGCGAGCTGGATCTGAGTTGGTTGACCATGGTTCTAATCCTGGTCCTGACAGCTTTAAAAATATGCCAGACGTGTGTGCTGAGTGCCCAAAATCCCAAGAGGATGGAGAAATGGAGGATAAGGGATTGTGGCATGAACAAGTTCCACTGGGGTGTGTTTCCTCTCCCTGCCCTATCATTATTAAAAATCAGTAAAAATGAATACATATGTCTCAAAACACAGTAACCAATGAGTTAATGAGAAAAATCATAATGAAAATCATTATAAAGTTAGAACTGAATAATAATAAAATACATACATATTGGGGTCAGAACCAGCAGATAGTGTCATGGTTTCATTGCTGGACTCGCACTTGTCTGACTGCATTTCGAGTCCCGGACCTGGTGGCTTGAAACTCAAGCCAGGCACTGTGCGTGCGTGCCCAAAATCCTGAGAATGGAGGAGAGGGATTGCAACATGGCCATCTCCCCTGGGGGTGATTTCTGCCTTTCTGTCTCTGTGTCTCTGTCTTTCCAGCGTGCACATGCACTCTCTGGCAAAAATATAAATAAAACTCTCAAAAAAAATATTGGGCTGAGTACCATATCACAGTGGTAAAGCACTGTATATTTGAAGTCAGATCCCATATGATTCACTGAGGTTCAAGTCCTGGCCCTAGCTGCTTCAGAGACACATTGGAAGCATTGTGTGCACATGCTTCAAATCCTGATGAGACGGAGAAATGAAGGAAGAGGGATTGTGGCATGGCCATGTTCCATTGGCAGGTACTTTCTCTCTCTCTTGCAAGCACATGTGCCCTCTGGCAATTAAAAGTAAACAAAATGGGGGCCAGCAGGTGGTGTAGTGGTTAAGGTGCTGAACTCTCACATGGCCAACCACAGTTCAAGTTCCAGACCTGGCAGCTTGAAACTCACACTGAGTGGGTGCATGTGCATTCATGCCAAAAATTTCAGGAGGAGAAGGGATTGTGGTGTGGCCATCCCCTCTGGGGATGGGGGGTTGGTGGTGGTGATTTCTCCTTTTCTGTCTCTTTCTCTGAAGAACACATACCCTGTGGCAAAAACCTTTAAATAAATAAATAAACAAAGAAATAAATACAAACAAAAAGCATGAGGGCCCAGTTGTGCTGTTGCAGGCAATCGTATGCCACTGTGCAATACTGGAGCCATATGGAAAAGTCTAGGGTTCTTTTTTGATTTTTTAATTGCCAAGAAGGTGAGTGTAATCATGAGAAAGAGAGAGAAGCACCCTCCAATGGGACATGGTCATGTCACAATCCCTTTTCCATTTCTCCCTCCTGTTGAAATCTGGGGTACCCACGCCAGAGCAGAGATCCAAATTGGTATGGTCAGCCATGTGGGATCCAGCTCCCTTAACCACTAGAACCACTAGGCTATGGGGCTAGACCTGTTTCGTTCTTCTTTACGAGGTTCTCTCTTTTATTTTTTTTTCAGAGATATTTTGGTTATAGGGTGCGTGCACTCACCAGAGTGATGGAGAGACAGAAAGTGAGAAATCACCCTCCAGGGGTAATGACCATGCCTTAATCCCTTCTCCTCCATTCTCCTCTTGAGATTTTGGGCATGCACACACATGTGCTCAGCATGAGGTTTAAGCCACTGAGTCTGGGACTCGAACTACGGCTGACTACGAGGGAGTGCAGTGGTATAACCATTATACCATCTGCTGGTTCTTTTTAAAACATATATATAGAATTATTTATTTTATTTGCTATTATTATTTATTTTTTAATTTGACCAACGAGAGACAGAGAGAGAAAGGGTGAGAAAGCAAGCCACCAGGTCTGGGACTCAATTTGTGGTCGGCCATGTAGAAGTTCAGCACCAACTGCCAGCCCCCTTCTTTAAGAGATTTTTTGTTTGTTTGGTTTTTGTTTTTTTTTTAAGAGAGATTTTTGCTACAGGGCGCATGCTCTCACCAGAAGGACAGAAAGCGAGAAATCACACCCCCTCCAGAAGGGTGGGCCACACTGCAATTTCTTCTCCAATCTCCTCCCGGAATTTTGGGTATGCATGCACATGCGCCCCACGTGTACTTCAAGTCTCAGGGTCCAATACTTGAACTGCAGTCACCCACATAGGAGTCCAGCACCACAACCACCATGCCACCTGTTGGCCCTGTTATGTCATTATGTCCATCTTCTATTGCCTCCTGTCATGTCACCAGCAGACATGAGGAATAACTGCTAAACACATTTTATTACAATGTTACAATGCTTACTCAATGGGAACCCACTTCAAATAATTACACTATGTAAGCCTCCTTTGTAAACTGAAATCCAAAGTTCTCAAGTATATCCTTAACTTGGCTAATTCATAAAATAAAATGTTACCCTTTCCCTCACAGATAATATTAGAATCAGCATCCCTAGGTGGCATAGTGCTTGTGCAGCTGGATCCTACATGGTTGACTATGCGGTTCAAGTCCCCAACCCTGTGACTTGAGAACCACACCAGGCACGTGCACGTGTGTGCCCAAAATCCCAAGAGGAGGATGGAAGAAAAGGAATTACAGCACCGCCATCCCCTTTGGGGGTTATTTCTCACTTTTTTTCTCTCTCTCCCCTGTGGGACATACAGGGTCCCAGACCTGGCAGCTTGCTTTCTCGCTTTCCTTCTCTCTTTCTGATCAACCTCAGAAAAATAATGACAATGAATAAAATTAAATAAAAAATCATTCTTTAAAAAAATTTAAAAAGGATGATGGAAATGAAAAATGAATCTCATATATTTGGGTCATATTACTCTTTTAAGTATCAGTATCTTGTATGTTTATTAAGTATCTGTGAACCCTTAATTAAGAAAGATAAATTCTAAAGCCTTTAAAAGTACAATACACTTTAGATTTAATCATAGAAAAAAGCCGTTCCCCTGGTGAAGCAAGATTTGGGTAATACTGAGGTTAGCTGAGGAAAGTTAGGCAAGAGAGCCCACACAAGCTATTTCTCGGTGCGAAACCTACTAAATTTTCCAATTAAAAAGATTCGGTTTACTTAGAAACTACAAGCGGCTTACATCTAAGAATCTAAAATATACGTGTAACTTAAAAAAAGAAAGAAAAAAAAAAAACAATAAAAACAAGGACTTTCAGCTAGGGCTTTAGACCAGCTGACCAGACGCGGGTAGCTGCTTTGCATGCTGGGATATGTAGTCCAGAAGAGTAGTTTCTAGTCAAGATGGTGGAGTTGCTAATGACGCGCGAAGGAGGGGCCTCGAGGGAGTCTGGGTCGCAAGGGGATTGGCTGACGCGGGACTCAGCAGGCGGGAAGTAAAGACCAGGTGTTAAAACCTTTCCATTGTGGGAAGCCGAAAGCGCCGAAGTCTCGCGAGATCCTGGCGAGGCCCAATGGAACGCGGAGAGTGGCTTATCACTAGGGGCATTTGTTGGGGGCGGAGCCTTGACTGGAGCTGGCCGCGAGTCGTAGGTGCCCGGCGTAACGGCGTTTAGGCCAAACGGCCGCTGTGAGGAGCGTAGCCGTGGCCATGAAGGAAGAGAAGGAGCATAGGCCGAAGGAGAAGCGAGTAACTCTGTTAACACCCCCGGGGGCCTCAGGCAGCGGCGGTGGGGCTTCAGCAGACATCTCCAAGGGGGAAGATAAGCAAGATCGCAACAAGGAGAAGAAAGAGGCGCTAAGCAAGGTGCCAGCCGGCAGTTGGTCGGGGAGGAGGGCGGGACGGGTCTGCCGCTCGTGGAGGACGGTTGGGATTGGGGCTGCCCTCTTCCTGTCCTAGGTTCTCCTCCTCTCTCTTGGCCTGAGTGAAGATCACTTCACCCACATTCATCCACTAGCCCCAATGGGGGAAACCGTCCGGGCCAAACTCCTGGGTGGTGGTGAGGAAATAGGGGACTCCCCCGACAAGAAGGGTTTGGGTCAGAACTGCGACGTGATAATGGGACGGGGGAGCGGTATTAAAGACAACGAGAAATGAAAAGTTTAATTGGGGAGAATTACTAACTAGTGAAGGGGACATTAGGTGTGGGAGTAGTTTGTGGTAAGTCGGAGAGGAGAGTAGGGGAGATTAATGGTGGGGGGAGCAGATCGAAAGCATCTACTTTGAGAGCATTTGAATTTCTTGTAATCGTTACAGTTTTGAATTCTTTCAGCCGAATGGGCTGGAATGTTGTTTTAGGGTGTGTTGGACGTGAGAGAGAGAGAGAAAATGACTATACCAAGATCGCAGGAAACCTACAAACGACAAGAGTCGACCTGCTTACTAATTTCTTGTCACTAGATGTGTCGAAAAATGAGTGATCAAAAATGACGTGTAAACTGGGGGGCCGGGCGCTGCCGGTTACAATCAGAACCTGAGATTTTTCCTTGCTCCTAGAGTGTTTTGTTGTTGTTTTCTTTTTTTTCCCTCAAATTTTGCTAGTGTGTGCTTGCTGGAGAAACAGAGAGAGAAAGAAAGTGAAAAATCACCTTCCAAGGGAGATGGCCATGCCCTGTCCCTTCTCCTCCGTTCTCCTCTTGGAATTTTGGACAAGCACACACACTGTTTTTCAAGCTGTCAGGTCCAGAACTTGAACTGCGTTGTCAGCCATGTGGGATCCAGCTGCCTTAACTTCCATGCCACCTGCTGGCCCTTCAAGAGTTTTTTAAAACCACTGTTAGGAGGGAAAGGAGGGGGAGAAGAAAATAAAATAAAGGTTACTATTGTCTTTGACTAGTCTTGAGCACTGGCCACACAAGAATATGTTCTTTTGGGGTTTTATAAGTGATCTCATATTTTAAAGCCCAGTTTTCTTCAGGAACTTGGATTCTTTCAGGTGTGGCAGTCAATTTGTATTAATTTTTATTTTCCTTATTCATTTAAGGTAGTAATAAGAAGATTACCTCCCACCTTGACCAAGGAGCAGCTTCAGGAGCATCTCCAGCCTATGCCTGAGCATGATTATTTTGAGTTTTTTTCTAATGATACTAGGTAAAAAAAAAAAAGGGGGGGGGGGAAAAGGGAGGGGGGGTAAACGGAAAAGGTTTCTTCCATTCTTTTAATCCTGCTAATATTTTCCCTTTGATTTTTAAACTCTCTTTAATATAAACATACTTGCTATTCATGTATTTTGGTCATATTACCCCTTGCAAATATCAGTGCAAGTGCATTTACATAGTTGCTTTCCTCTCCGCAGTCTGTATCCTCATGTGTATGCCAGGGCATACATCAACTTTAAAAACCAAGAGGACATTATTTTGTTCAGGGATCGCTTTGATGGTTATGTGTTCCTTGACAATAAAGGTGAGTCCTTGTTACTGAACTAGAAGGGGAGTTTGTCATTTGTATATTTAAGACAACATGTGCAGGCTGGCAGGTAGAATGCTGTTTATGGTGCTGGACGGCCACATGGTAGACCCCAGTTTGAATCCCGGACCTGGCAGCTTGCTTTCTCACTTTTTTTCTCTTTCTCTGTCTCTGGTTAAATTAAAATAATAATAATAATAATAAATAAACAAAATGAAATATTTCTTAAAAAAAAGACGTGTTTATAACAGTGTTTTCTCAATGCCTTCTTAGGGTAGCTATTGTAAAATCCTAAGTGATAAAATGTACAGCATTTAAAGAGTTTTACACCGTGATAAGCTTATTATGCTTGTTTTGTAAATTTAGTTTGCTATAGGGCGAGTGTGCTTACTCGCTGGGGAGTGACAGAAAGAGAAAGGAAAGTGAGAAATCATTCCTCCCCCAGCTCCATGTAATCCCTTGCCTTCCATTGTCCTCTCGAGATTTGGACATATACTCACACACACTTGGCATTATTTTCAAATCACTGGGTCCAGGACTCAAACTAAGAAGTTGGTCATGTGGGAACTGACAGTTCCCAGTTGGAATATTGTTCAAGATTCTTACAAATTTGTGTATAATTAAAGCATTGAGCTTGTTGATCTCCCACTTTATATCCAGGAGGATCCAGGCTATAGCAGAGGCACAGTTCTTCTTTAATTCTCTTTTGAGGTATTATATGCTGCTTGCAACATTTAACCAGAGAATGTCCAGCCTGCCATTTGCCACTTTTCTCTTAGTTTTACAATCATGTGAATAGTGTGTCTTTTTTTTTAATGGCTATTTTATTTTTAGTCTTGTTTAGTTTAGTTTTGCTTTTTCAGTATTACTTCAAAGTTAGTAAAAACTTGGGACCAGCTGGTGGCATGGTGGTTAAGGCTCTGGACACTCCCACATGGCCGACCAGGGTTCAAGTCCTGAATCTGGTGGCTTGCTTTCTCACTTCCTCTCTCTCTCACTTTCACCCTCTGTCTCTCTGGTCAAATTAAAAAATAAATGAATGAATAAATAAAAAAATAAAATAATTATTTTTTTTTAAGTTAGTAAAAACTAAGTCTTTGTCGGGGGTATACTAATAAAAGTTGAAGGATTGCCACTGCTTGTGTATACCTTTTTTAATTCTCCAAAACCAACTATTTCTCCATTCAACTTTTTTTTTTTTCAGTTTGGTTTACGGTGTGTGTACTCACAGGAGAGAAAGAGGGAAAGTGAGAAACTACTCCCTAGTGGAGAGGACCATGCCACAATCCCTTCTCTAGTCTCCTCTCAGGATTATGGGCACACATCCACATGTTTTTCAAGCTGCCAGGTCCAGGACTTGAGCCATGCAGTTGGCCATGTGGAATCCAGCCACCTTAACCTCAGTACCACCTGCTACCCCATTGCAACTTTTTCACTCCAGTAGATGGTAGTGATTTCCTAGTTCAATAGCATGGATATCTGAGTTGTTTTTGATTTTTTTCTTGCTCACCCCTTACATGAAAAAAAAGTGATGTGGGCCAGCAAGTGGCATGGAGATTAATGTACTGTATCCCACATGACCTGCTGCACGTTTTGAGTCCCAGACCCAGCAGCTTGAGTCATGCTGGATGTATGGTGCATGTGTGCCCAAAATCCTGAGAGAGACTGGAGGAGAAGAGATTGTGGCATGGCCATCCCTCTCATGGGTGATGATTTCTCACTTTCTCTCTCTCTCTTTCTCTCTCTGGCAAGCAAATGCATCCTACAGCAAAAACTAAAAAAACAAACAGGTGATGCATCTTATCAATTTGTTGTTTAATGTCTCATTTACTTAGACCCTTCTACTTTGCACATTTCACATATTAAATCATATATACTTAGACAAACACTGTCTCTAAACTTAAAGGATTTTCTGTTTTTTTTTTTTTCCCATATCTATGTAATTCAGTATATCAGATTGCCATGAAGTTAATGGTTTTGAAAATAGTGATTTAATTTAACAGTTGTTGTTTTTTTTTTTTTTTTTTTTTTTGAGAGATTTTCACTGTAGGGCGCGTGCGCTCGCCAGACAGACAGAGAGAGACATAGAGACAGAAAGCGAGAAATCACCCCCCAGGGGGGATGGTCACGCCGCAATCCCTTCTCCATTCTCCTCTCGGGATCTTGGGCACGCACGCATACGTGCCCGGCGTGAGTTTTAAGCCACCGGGTCCGGGACACGAACCACGGTCGACTACGTGGGAGTCCAGCGACATAGCCATTACGCTAACTGCTGGTTCCCTAATTTAACAGTTGTTGAGGAAAGTCTAAATTTCTTAGCTTGAGAGTCAGGGTGCTTCATAGTCTGATCACTCTCCTATTTTTACAGCCCATCTCATAATTTCCCACTGCTTTAGTCTGGTTTATCTATTCCTCCTAAGATATATCACAGGTGTTGTTTTGTTTTGTTTTGTATTTGTTTTTTATTTTTAGGTTTTGGCCATAGGGTGCATCGTGCGCTTGCTAGAAAAAGAGAGGGAAAGTGAGAAAACACCCCCTGGGGGGTGGCCATGCCACAATACCTTCTCCATTCTCCTCCTGGGATTTTGGGCATGCATGCATGCATGTCCAGCATGATTTTCAAGCTGCCAGATCCAGGACTTGAACTAGCTGGCTATGTGAGTGTAGCACCATAACCACTGTGCCACCTGCTGGCCCCTGTATCACAGTTATTAAGCTAAACCAATTCTGCATTACTCACAATGCTGTGTAACCATCACCACTAATTCTGGGATGTTTTTATCACCCCAAAACAAAATCATATCCATTAATAGTCATCTCTCATTTGTCCCTTATCCCAGTCCTTGGCAACCACTAATCTACTTTCTTTCTTTTTTTTTTTTTTTTTTCAAACAAAGGAGAGAGAGAGATGGATATTTTTTGACAGGATCTCACCATGTTGCAATTATTCTGCCCTAGCCTCCCAGCCAGGTGTGCTCCAGTGAGCCTTAACCTGTCCAGGGTGGTTTAGGAACTGAACCCAGCCTCCCATGCAGCCTCAGCCTCACTCAGCAGCACCTAACTGCTTGTGCCACTGTGGCTTAGACTCATCCTTTTTTTCTCTCTAAATTCTCCTATTCTGGACACTTCATTTGGATTGAATCATACAACATGTGGCCTTTTGTGACTGACTTCTTTTACTTAGCATGTTTTCAAGGTTCATCCATGTTATACTATGTATTTTATTGCATCCTTCCCCTTTTACTGCATTTTCAAAATTGTGATGAAATGCACATAATGCAAAATTGTCTTCTTAACCATTTTAGGTATACAGTTCAGTAGTGTTAAGTATATTCACATTGTTGTCCAACACAATCATCAGAATTTTTCATCTTGTGAAACAAATTCTGTACCCATTAAATAACAGTATTCCTTTCCCCCTTCCCTTAGCCCCTAACAACTACCATTCTACTTTCTGTCTCTGAATTTGACTACTCTAGGTATCATATATAAGGTGAATCACACAGTGTCTTTTTGTGACTGACTTATTTCACTTAGTACGATGTCCTCAAGGTTCATGCCTATTTTAAGTACCAAAATTTCCTTCATTTTTAAAAGCTGACTGATATCTCATTGTATGTGTATACATTTTGTTTATCCATTCATCTATCAAGGAGCACTTAGGTTACTGCTACTATTGGCTAAATACTATTGCTATGAAGACGGGTGTACAAATATATGCTTGAGTCCCTGCTTTCACTTCTTTTAGAAATATAACCAGAAGTGGAATTTCTGGGTCATATGGTAATTTTAGTTTTAATTTTAATTTTTTTTTTTGGATTTTGCTAAAGGGCATGTACATTTGCTAGACAGAGATAAGGAATGTGAAAAGTCACCCCCAAGGGGGGATGGCCGTGCCACAATCTCTTCTCCATTCTCCTCATGGGATTCTGGGCACATGTGTACACATGCACATGAGCCTGGTGTGATTTTCAAGCCACCAGGTTTGGGACTTGAACCAAGGTCGGCCATGTGGGAGTCTAGTGCCTTAGTCCAGCACCTGCTGGCCCTTATTTTTCATTTTTTGTGAAAGCACTACTGTTTTCGGGAACCAGCAGTTAGCCTAATGGCTATGTCGCTGGACTCCCACGTAGCCAACCGCAGTTCGCATCCCAGACCTGGTGGCTTAAAAACTCACGCCGGGCGCGTGTGCGTGTGTGCCCAAGATCCCGAGAGGAGAATGGAGGAGAAGGGATTGCAGTGTG